AATGCTTCACTATGCACTTAACTTTATTAATATAGCTTTATAGTATTACTTTAGTACCTACATTTTCCAGACACACTGAAAAGGCGCAGTAAAAATTCATTCAGGGTTTTTAAGTTTATAGTCCCAATAAAATTGGAAAGTCACAACAATAAATTGGTTTATTGTGAAAACATTGAAGTGGAATTTAAACACGACTTTTTTATCAACACAAGCTGTGCCCGCGACATCGTACGCGTGAAAATATATGTTTGAATATTTTATCCCGTTTCCGCAACTTTTTTCTTTACTGCTCCACCCAAGGCCAAAAGCCTTCCTCGATAAATGGTATCCAACACAAAAATATTTTTTGAAATCGAACTAATAGTTACTGAGATTAGCGCGTTCAAGCAAACAAACAAACTCTTCAGCTTTGTAAATACTCGTAGATGTGCTCAACCAACTTTACCGAAGTGAGCTGGCTGTTTTGTTTTAGCTGCGGTAAAATAAAAATAAAAGCGTTTTGTATTGTTTATACTACGGTAACTAGAGCGTGCCGCCTGTGTCAACATGAAAAGATTTAGCGCGATTGGGTTTATTTACGGACTTTATGTATCCGCAGAAAAACCCCGGAGTAATGTCTAAAGAACTGTACAGTGTTATTTGAAATTATTTTTAAGTCTGTTACGTTTTTGTAGTGGATATGTGGTTTGAGATATATTAATGACTAGCTTTTGCACGCGGCTTCAACCGCGTAAAATTTAGCGTCACAGATCGGCATAAATTATAGCCTATATGTATATTAATCTGGGTTACAAACAATAATACTGTAAAGTTTCAACAAAATCCGTTCAGTAGTTTTTGCGTGAAAGAGTAACAAACATCCAGACATCCAGCCAAACTTTCGCATTTATAATATTAAGTAGGATTAGTAGGATATTAGTAGGAAGTAGGATGTTTCATATAATTTGCTTTTGAATTGAATTAAAAGTAAAATTAAAGTAACTAAGGGACAAACATGTGAATATCAAGCCTCGCCACCCAAATGATCTGATGATAATGATGATTAAAGGATACAACATGTGGCAGCTACTACAATATTTAATTTTATTTGGGAAACACAATAATATATTTATATTGGGTGAAAAGCAAGTAGGTATTAGTAATTTATTTGGTTCATTGGAATATTGTAAGATATTTACTACCGATACTTGTTTTTGATCGATCAACATAGAACGCATTGGACCTATGTTCAGCAGTGGACGTCCTATGGCTGAAATGATGATGACTTGTGTTTGGGTAGTTTGGCGCCATAATGCTACTAAAATAAAATTTTAATACTGCTTTCGTTTTACGCGGATTCATTTAAAACTGAAGCTAACATTTTGAACCATAACCTGTTTTAGGATTAAGAGATTTTGTGGAACGGAACGTGGATTAAAATAAATTATGGCAGCTATTGCAATGTTTTTTTGCCAATTTAAATCCGAATGCAATATTAATATTTTCAGTGCTTTCAAAAACAACATTTCACAGATAAGAAGTACGAGTATGTACGAAAAATGGGTACCTATTTTCAGTAAAAACAAAATAATTATCTACAAGGTAACACAATTTAAAATATAATGAATTTTTCCTATAGTCGAATAAATTGGAGCTTTACCTATTTGAATTGGTTTTAATTAATTTCCTATAGGAAACAACGAAGCAAGCATTTAATTGTCTTGGTTCAGCAAATTAAACAACTGGGAACCAATTGAGGAAATAATTAAATACCTACCTTCATAGTAGTGGAAATTTGATAGATTTGTTTATTTCCCGAGCCGTGCTAAGCTTAAAAAGAAATTATCTGAAGTTTTTAATTCTTATCCTGAAGATTTTAGGGAAAAAGATAAAAAAGAAATATTCTGGCATTTTTAATTCAAATGCCGGTCCCAAAGACACTGAAAGCAAATTTAAAGTAAACAAAAATAAATTGTTTTAAAAGAATTTGAGCGCACCGTGAAAGGTTCTGTAGATTAAAGCCACTTTAAGGTGGCACTGAAAAACGAGTCTTTAAATATTCAGTAGAAATTGTCGGTCGAATGAAGGAAAGTAGATGAAAAAAGCGGAAAATCGAGCTTGGCTCCCCAAAGGTAGGTAATTTAAAAGGTGAACTGTACCTCTAGCATGAACAACTTTCGTCTTCGAATCGTTTGCGTATTCGATAAAATTCGATACTCAATCTTCGAATTAAACGATAACGTGACAATTTTGATTCTCAAAATAAGTTTCTTGCAACCACATCTCCTACTAAGTTTACTTTACGACACGTTCACGAGGGCGCTGTTGTAGTTTTCTTACTAAATCTTTTGATGGCGATTCGAGTACGCAAACGATTTGAACTCGAAAGTTTTTTGTGCTAGCCGTACTGAACATCCATTAAACGGTGATGATGAATGAGTATAATGTAGTACAGTCAGTGTCAAATAGTTTGTGACACCTAGAGCAGCCAAAAAGTTCTTTCTTACAACTGAAATAAGGTTGTGTTGTCAACTTTTGGCCACTTTGGGCGTCACGAACTACCTGACGCTGAGTGTACCTACCTACAATAAAATAACATAGGGATGTTTACACTATTTCAAAGTGAGCTTGAGAAAGAAAATTTTTTGTTCATTTGGGTATAATAAGAAACATCAAAAAGATTTTGCGCTTATTCCGTAATGTGCAACGATCCTGTGAAATATCAAAAGCGACATCAAATCGAGTTTTATAGATTAACCAATAAAATCATAAATTAGATCAGTATCCGTTATTTTTAATATTAAACCGTCACGTAACCTTACATGATAAATGTATCCAACAGATAACCTAAAAGCAAAAATAAGTCGGTGACGCGAAATGAATGTTTTTGAGTCTGCTGAAATGTTTTCCAAACTAATTGCAGTATAAAGTCCTATTCTTTATTGGTTTGGTTACAACTGTTTACATTCCGTTACGAATATTTCCGTTTCAGTAAGAACTGAAGTGTTTGTTATTGACGCGCGTATTCACAAACGATGCTTGCATAAGTGAAGCAGCAAATCGAACGCACAGCGTTGAATAGAGCTCTGTGATTGGTTCGTGTGTCACCATGCGCACTGTGAGACCTCATAGTAATGTTTCTGAATACGGGCGTAAGATGCCACTGTGTTTACGAAATGCTATCGTCTTTACAGTCCACTTCCCACAAAAAGGCGAACTTCCCAAATTGTATTTTGAAGTTTGTTAAAAAGTTATAAGTTTCAAGGCTCATAAAGGTTCAGTTGAAACTTTTGTATTGTTTCTGTGGTAAAGTATTAGATATTACCCAGATGAAACCTTGAAAAAAGAAATTGGTATTCTAAATGTAGAGAAAGTTGCGGGGTTGTTACTAGTATAAAGACAAATTAAATACCAGTTTTATAGCAGAAAGTTTATCAGATCCATAGCAAGCGTAAAACTTATAAGTAGGTTCCTTTAGATAAATATCTTTATTGTATTATTGCCCTTGAAAACAACGAACTCCTAACGTCAAGTGTTTCCTTATATTCTGATGGCTCAGGGACGCGGGCCCTGCATGATGAAGTAAGAAAACTTTTCAAGAACGTTCGAGAACAAAGCACTCATGTTTTACTTTTTGACAGCCTCGAATACGATGTTTGTAATATACGGGTTGGTTGTTTGAAAGTGGCAGAGTTAAATTCAGAACGTTAAAATTGGTAAAAGTAAACCTCTTTATAATAATTATGTTGATGTAGAAAAAAAAACAATAATCTGGTTGGTCATGAAAATCTTGCCCCTGGCCGCACTCGCGCAAACTACAGAAAAAGAAGTTATTTGAATTTCGAACTGTTATACCCGGTCTTTGTATAGAATAAGGCTGACCCGCCGCTGTCGCGCCGAGTCAGCGTTTCTAAACTATGGGAGCGCCCGAGACCCCACTGTAAAGTTTAGTTCGGTTTGAGAGCTTGCTGCAACGGGTTGTCTTTAAAATTAATGTTTAAAAAGTGAATAAACTTCAAATACCTCGTACAACAGAACGTCATACGTAGAGACGAAAGAAAATTTTAATTTTTGGACTTTTTGGCGGGATAGATTTTAACATGACATTTAGCAGTTTTATTTTAATTTAGTTTCAATTTACATAATGTTACTTAGTTTTTCGTGACAGTCTTTAAATGTGAAATAATGGTGGATATTAACGTGGAGAACTGACCTGACCGGGAATTCCTTTATCATTACGTGTCCCATTTAATATTTTAACTTCTTGCTCAAATGTGAAACAAAATATCCTTTAAGGTCAGTTATCTACCTAGAGCCAAAGCACACGATGTCCCGCAAAGAATTTTCGCCGTACTTATCGCGCGACGCTGCACCGCTCGTGTGCCCGCCATAGATATTTCTATGTTACTTGTAAGACGACGCCACGCTGCGACACCGCTCTGGCGTCGCACCGCGCCGTGCTTTGGCTCTTATTGGCATGAAAACACGTGTAAATTAAATTATTTAGTGCGATGGCCAAGTCAATAATTTATGTAAAACGTTAAAGATTTCCTGGCCTGGACTTGGTATTACATGGATCTCACAACTTTTTACCGTAGAACAACTGAGTTGCGAGACTTGGTTTTTTTGACAAGTATTGTTTTTGATGGGATCCAATATACTCGTAGATCGTTTCATCCACGATGATGCGCCCCACCAAGGGTTGGACGAGGGAAGCGCGAAGTGCGGGGAGTTTGATCCGAGCAATCCGAGCGTCATTATTGTAGTGTGCGTGTGCACTCATGGATGATTTAGCGCGTACCGATAACACTCAAACTTTAGCGGAAGAATGGTGGGGCGCGCCTTCGTGGATGTCACGATTTATATCAGCGCCGTCGCAACGCAACAATGTGATTTGGCTCTTCATAATAAATCCAATATTACGTATATCCTTGGATTTATTTAATATTCGCACCATTTTACACAGTACATCATGAATCACTTCAATTATCCCCGTTTAAAACACTTGCACTTGTCCGCAGGAGGTCAGGAGGAGCGCGATGACGACGGACAGTGCGCTCAATTCTCAACGGTAAGTCTTGATGTTAGAGTACAAATTAGAAGTGGCAGTAAAATTTTAGTGCAATTAATGTACATTGGCCAATTTATTGGATGGTTGAATAGTTGATGATTGTAGATAGCAGTTTGTGGGTAGTATTTTTATGAGTCTTCATAAAAACAGCAATGTTGAATCACGTTCATATTTTTACCAAATAAGAAATTCATATTTAATTTAATGAACGTGAAGCTTAATATAATCTTTAATTTCTAAAAATATAAGTACAGACTTACATAATCACACGCTCTATTTATGTGACAAATTAACTATCAGAATTGATACAAATAGAATTCTCTTTCGTATAGAGCTATCAAATCACCAACATGTACTCGAAACCATCCAAATAAATAACGCTAATTAAAAATTATCAATAATTATATTGAAGGCAATTAAAGCTAATTCGTAAAAATGATATAAAATCAAACTTAATTTTTACATTATTACAGTTTATAAAGCCTTTTAAAAAGTAGAAATAAACTTTGCATGTTAAAACGAATTCCATAACAGCACCCGTTTTCATTGTTTTCCCTTCCAACCATCGCCATTACTTTTAATGATGACGCACCCCATGGGAGTAAATAAATACCATTTAAAACAACCATCACATTTGCATATGGGTCTACGTCGACAGCTTTGGAGTTTATTGTCATTGTAAAAAATCGTCCGTCCGTGTGCGAAATCGTGTGTACTGTTGATTCGTATGTACTATGTATTGCACGGTTAAGTTGGGTAGGGTTAGAAAGTTCTATAAAAGTATTTTATGTGTTTTTCGGTTAGTTTGGAAGTGACTATTTCCTTCTTCTTATTCTTTATTTAATGACAAAGACGTGCATAATAACGACAAGGTTCAAATAATGTGACGTCATAAATCGAATTGCCCGCAATGATTCTTGCAGGAATCATAATATACTTTGCTAATCTGTAGATTATTAGCTTAAAGTATTATTAGCTTATACATGTAATGTACCTACTATAAGCTAATAATCTACAAAATAGCAAAGTATCATCAAAATCCATCTAGTAGTTTGTGCATGAAGTCAAACTTCCATTCCATCCATTCTCTTACTTTCACGATTATGAATTTTGTTAGCAGGTAATTGGTATCTATAGAGATTTATTTCCCATTGTACATAGTAAATAATATTATTATGAAAGTACTTCAAAACAGTTCATAACGTGGGTTGGACATAACGTGTGTTGTTTATTTGTTTTACCTGAATTTATTCCCCATTCATCTATATTGATGTGGCAGAAACTTTGAACTATAAAGTTGAAGATAATAAAGTAAGGTATTAGAAATAATTTATGTTGAACTTTTGGAAAGTTGTGCTTTTTAGGATATACCTAGGTAGAGATATTGTTGCCAATATAATGTGGTAGGTAATTATTTATTAACACTGTTAGAAAATTTAAAACATCATCATCATCATCTTTCAGCCACAGGACATCCACTGCTAAACATAAGCCTCCCCCCCAATGACTTCCACATCGCACGGTTGCTAGCGGCCTGTATCCAGCGCCTTCCTGCCACCTTTATCAGGTCGTCGGTCCACCTACGAAAACACTATTTAATTTGATACTGTTGCCATATAGAGAGTTCACGTTGATATTAATTCTCTTTTTTTCATACAGGGTGTTCAAAAAATCGTCGCCAAACAACAAGTTAACCCTCTACCTGGCGTCCAGAGACCTGATAGTGGAGAACGGAGCCATAGACAAAATACAGGGTGTGCTGCACGTAGACCCCGAAGACCTGGTGAACAAGAAGCTCTATGGACAAGTTACTTTGACATTCAGGTACTGTTTACAAACTTTACGACAAAACTATTACGGCTGAGTTGCACCACCTAATTTTAACGGTCACAACTATAACGATAACCAGTGCTTTTTGTTTGGAGTTTGACAGATTTTTGACGTTTGTCAAAGTTAAAGTAAGATGGTGCAACCCAGCCTTAGATAGTTAGATGGTTGCAAGTCAAATTCTGAGCATATTGACGTTCCAAATAAATAGTTCAACTATTACTTGGTACGTGGACATGACGATGGTCTCGCTTGGTGGTCAGTGATCAGGACTACAAAGTTAGTGAGCACGATTGATTATAATGTTTTAAATAGCACTTGTTAGTCAAGCAAGTCATCTTTATAAAATACCAATTTTTTCTCTACATATTAAATCCACTAAATATGGACAAAAAACTAGTCAACAATTTTTCACTAAAAATACCCCATTATAACATTATAATATGTATTAGTATCTAAAATTATACCTAAACAAAAAACATACAGAGGGAAAGAAATTACTGTATAAATCAGTCTCTCATTACACTCAGGGTTAAATTGGCACCAGGGCCGCATTTAGAAGCGTATCGCGAACCTTTTTATTTTAACCCTCAAAAGTCACTCTTTATTTAGGCCCTGACCGTTACCTCCCAAAACGGAATACGTTCCCAAATAGTCATTTATATTCATTTGGACGAAGGAAACGTTTATCCATTTCACACTGCATAATGGCCGCTTAGAGCCAGTTAAAAGTTAATTTAATTTGAATTATTAATACTCTACAGAGTAATTTTAGTGTTATAATAATAATTATGTTACCGATATATTAGACTCTTTTGTTAATGAGGTTGGGTTATGTTCAGAAGTAATTATTTGGCTTGTTATTTTCAGAAATACAGACACGATTTCAAATAAGTAATATACTTGGATTTATATTTTAGTTATAATTATTATCCCGTGTAGGTTCATTAATTTCATATCAAGGTAAGGCATTATGCAATAATTATTGCGAGGATCAGATAAAATCGTCAGTTGTCAATTTTTACCAAACCTAATTAGTATGATTACATAATGCCTTACCTTGATATGAAATTAATGAACCTACACGGGATAATAATTATTGATAATAATCTTATCAATCTCATAAAAAGTAGTGGACAGTGGTATCATTACTTCGAAAAGCATTTTTTATCACACACCCTATATTTTCAGAATGGCCACTCCTAATTTCCAAGTCAAACATCAATGTTTGATTTAATGTTCGTTTGGTTATTTCACCTGAAAGAATACCTACGAAAGCGCTACTGAACTATGTAGTAAACGCTACTAAATTCGTAGTAAACAGTATAAATCAAAAGCTCTTCCCTCTCATTTCTCTATAAGCTCTGATAAAGCAGAGATAAATTGAATGCAGCTCGTCTTATCGCGTTGTTACGTCAATACTAGAGCACACCCATTTGATAAACGCTCGACGTTTCAGGGTTGCCTCTTCGGAGTTTACAGCTTTTGTCTTTACCTGTTACGAAACGATTCTCCAAACTCAACTCAAACTCAAGCAAAGTGTCACAAATGTGATTGGATAGAGTTCTTCCATACTACTGTATTTGGGCGTCAATCATTCTTGGATCTTTGGATCAAAATCTAGAAGTATTTTTGAGGTATCATAGGCCCATTGCAGGACAGTTTTTTTTTTGCAGAAGCCCATGATATGATGACAGTTTAAAAATAACCCACTTCTCTTTGTAATTATGGTTATCGGTTGCCTGTCAACATACTCGTAGTTTACAGATAACATTTATAACAATTTAGGTTGAGTTGCACCACCAAACTTTCACCGAAACTATAACGTTAATCGGTGATTTTTGTATGGAGTTCGACAGATTTTTGACGTTTGTAAAAGCCCAAGTGAGATGGTGCAACCCAGCCTTAGTATAATGTTGCTTGGCAATACTTAAATTACATAACTACGTATTTTTTCTCCTTGACCTTTTACGATTTCCTATATTCACGACCTAGAGTTAGAAGGTTTTATCACGTAACTAAATATCTAATTTTCATACTAAACTGGCTATACTCTAATATTACGTACCTACATAATATTTGCAATTCAGAGTGAGAAACACTATAAATTCTTACAAAGGTAGATTGTTATGGTAATATTATGTTGCTTATAAAGTACCTAATGTTTAAGGCTTCTTAGCGCGTATTGATAAAAGCTAATATTCATAAATATTCTCGAGTATTTTTATACGAGGAAAACACAGCTATCGTGTTATTACGTTGTCTTCATTATGTCAGCAAAAGGCGCCCCGTGGCCCCGTTAGCCGTTGCCTTCGACTGATTCAACCTTGCTCATAGCCATTGCAGATTCTTTTATTGATAGACACTAGCTTTTGCCCGCGGCTTCACCCGCTTTAAATTTTATATGACATAGAAAAACCTTATCGCGCGCGAAAACCGGGATAAAAACTATCCTGTGTCCTTTCTCTGGACTCAAAGTAACTCTTTCGTCAAAATCGGTTAAAAGTTCTTATTTTGTTCAGAAAAACACAAATTAAACTCTAATAACGTTAATTAGTTATGAATATGAATGAAAAGTTCGTACGTACGTACTGGTCGAAGAACTAATGGATGCTTTAAGTGATTTTATTAACACCAGTATTTCACAGCTGCAAACCAAAACCTTGTTAGCGAGAGAGAACTCTAACCCCCTGAACCAAAGAGCTGATCATAGCATGATTAAATAAACACATCCAGAAATGCAAACGTAGAACATTATTGTGATTGGCACCGTCGAACTAATTAGATATTCCCAGTTGAACTTGATATTAGACTAATTACATATTTACATAGAGTTAAACTTGATATCAACTGATGAGATAATTTGCAAATGCAGGAAGTGCTAATTGGCGTAGACAGAACCACTGTTTCTTTGTAAAGAGTAAAATCTTATGAGTTCATCATGTAATATATTAACTGTTGTTTCTTTGTCTATTTATTGCCGTATAATAACAATATTTTTATAGTCAGTATATTTCTCCGTGTGATAAACAAAAATATGGATGTTATCGGTAGTCGCTGCTTCTTCTCAGCACTGGCCCATTTATTGTCCCAAAGCAGTGGTAGGGTTAATACTGGGACGTGTAAAAGTGCTTTTAAAACCCTACTTACAAAAATAAATGTTTTTTTGTGAGTCAGGAAAAAAACCTATAAAAAAATATGAACTTACAGCAAGTATAAGACCAAATAGATACTATCGCCAACAGTGTTAACTGCCCATTGAAAGTCATGTCATCTCGTTCTATCACAAAGAATCGCCATTTGATTAGAGCGAGAGCAAAAACGGAAATGGATGGTTAACAGTGTGGGCGTGTGTACAATCAAACGGTGTTTTTTTGCGATAGAACGAGATGACATGACTGGCAATGGGCAGTTAACACCGTTGCCGATAGCACCCGATAGTACATCAAAACATTAACTTTTAATTTTGGCGTGGTACAACATACCTGCCCAAAAAAACCTATTCACTCTCGCCATGAAGAAGTGCAGGCACAAAGTTCGGAGAAGATGATTTTCAGTCCTTAGCTGTCCCTTTTGTACTTTTCACATAAATTACTTACTGCACCTAAGTTAAATTATATTGTAACTGTATGTTTCCCAAAAATAAATAAATAAAATAAAATAAAAATAAATATAAAATTTTTACATTTACAATAACAAAATTGTATTACAAACGTTCCTGTTTCACAGGTATGGCAGAGAAGATGAAGAAGTTATGGGCCTCAAGTTCTGCAACGAAGCCATCATGAGCCTGGCACAAATATGGCCTCTACACTGCAACCACGAAAGGGAACCTAACACACCCTTACAGGTAAAGACGAAACCCTTTATGGGGCTATGGAACCTTAACTTTGAATTCCTCCTATGTTCTTCTGATTAATTTCGTTGCGAGTCCAATGACAATTTAACTTTCCCCCGGGACAAACTTGACCTTCACTGGTTAGGTTTTTATTGGCGGTCAAGTTGTCTACACAGAAGTTGCAGAGGTGGGGATAGTCCCGTTTATGGGGCATGGGACTGCGCAAACGTATGTCAGATAATAAATATACTCCAAAAATTAGAACATGGTGCATGTTGATTATCGCCTATACAAAAAATGTTAAATAACCGATTGTCGATGCTAAGGGCTCTTTCGAATTAGCATTATTCAACGCAGTTTACGCTCGTGTGCTTACACGCGCAAATTTTCGCGATTCAAAAAATCAAACGCACGAAAAAATACGCCAAGGCTGGCCAAACCCAGACACCTCTTGAAACACGCATACAATCTTTTTAACTGTAATTATGCACAAGGAGTGCGAGCTTACAAAATCAGGTTATTCGCGCTGATAAGCACTCCGAAGTTTTAAAGTAGTTTCTTGGTCCCCTCGTTATAATGTATAACAATGCTGTTGTTTTTTGTCTAGAGCTCACTGTGGTATTCTAATTGGTAAACTCCCATTTCTAATACTTGTCTTGGAAATGCTAATGATGATCCTATAGCAGTAAGTATTTATTGAAGATAATGATGATAATTTTCCTCAGGATGCTCTAATAAAGAGGTTAGGAGCCAACACATTCCCGTTCCACCTGGAGCTCACACCACTGGCGCCTCCCAGCGTGCAGCTGGTGCCAGCCAAGCAATACCACGGCGCGCCCATCGGGACTTCTTATGATGTTCGGGCTTTCATTGGTAAGTAAAAACAGAGTAAATACAAATGAGTAGGTCATCTTCATAGAAACGCACCATCCGTCAATATACGTATGCGGCGCGCACGCACACACTGACAAAATTCGGTCACATACAAACCGCGCTCGGTGCGTTTCTATGAAGATGACCTACTCATTTGTATTTACTCTGGTTATAATCATAAGCCTTACAAATAAAACTTACACCCGTATTCACAAACATTTCTATGAGGTCTCACAGTGCGCGTGGACGCACAGGGTCCAAAAAACCTGTTCATAGACAATACTTTAGTGGCAGAGTGACACACACGAACAAACATTATTAGGTCTCACAGTGCGCGTGGACGTACAGGGTGACACACGAACCAATCACAGAGCTCTATTCAACGCTATGCGTTCGATTTTCTACTTCACTTAAGGCCATGATTTCCCAAATTGTCGATATTTGACCGATTTTGTTTGCAGATAGCTTCTAAATGAAAAGATATTTTAGCAAACAAAAAATTGTACGAGTAAGTTAATGTCTTTAACTAGGGCGACAACTTTTCCAAAACACGATATTGCATAGTTTGTCCGATAAAAAAAAATCCCAAAGAAGTACGTCGACGGCTTTTTTGTTTTACTCTCATATATTCATTTTTAACATTTTACACTTAAAATATATACTAATAGATAGGACTTTGTATTTTCTAGGTCGACAACTTTTCAAACTTTTGTTATTGCGTCTTATTTAGTTACTATGTTGAAAAAATGTGAAAAAATCGGCCATGACGGCTTGGACAATCTTAATCAGTCGCGCGGTGGCGCTTACGGAGGACGGACGCGTGTCAGTTTTATTCCTGTGACAGTTCGCGACTTGTCAATATTTTTGACAAAATCGCCTCTGTCTGGCGGGTGGCGAGTCACAGTATAATAATATCAGTATTACTGGAGAAAGCTAAGAATTTTCAATCATGATACATAGTACATTTTCCAAAATAAAACATGTTTGTTAAATCGTTTTCACAGTATTTTTATAAAAATTTCAGCTTGTAAACTGACGCTAAAGTGGAAATTTACAAAACCTGTGTGGACTTATCTTGATAGAATTCCTGAATACTAAACTAATCGCAATATTTTCTCAATTAACTATTTAGACGACGAAATTGCCTAACTATTTATGCCTATAACATATTTGTAGTATTACTGGTTAATGATTGTAACGAGTTGAAAAAGTACTGTTTTTGCGCCAAACGGCGTAAACGCTCTTAACTATTTGAAGATTACGTAAACCGTCATCCAACTTACGGTTTGTTTTTATACTGTGGCGTCAACGCGTCGCGCGAGTGTCAGCGCGAGCGTCAGTGCGAGGTGTGCGGGGGCTGAGGTAAACAAATGCACGGCATCGAGGCGGTAAATCCTAGCCTTAAGCAAGCATCGTTTGCGAATACGGGTGTTAAACGCGCGTTAAAATCTACAGGGTTGGCGCATAACAGTGCCTGAGGTATGAGAGCGGCACGGGAGGGTTATTTTGTGACGTCAAACGTCAGCAAGACATTAGAATTAGATGTTATAATAATAATAATAAATCTTTATTTGGCACGGGACAAAAAATGACAATTACAAGTGTAAAAAGGTACATAAAGAAGAAAAAAATAATAAAATAAAAAACAGTAAAATAATCCAGCCAGACCAGTAAAGATCCCGAGCCAAAAAGGCGCCCGCTCAGCGATACTCGGGACTTATGTGAAAGTCCCGACGCTGATTTTCAGCGAGTACCCTTCCCTGATGTGCTTCATACTTGTAAGTTCTGTCATGTCGTATGTCACCCCTCCCATGCCGCTCTTATAACTACCTCAGGCACTGCCTCAGCTACGTGCAGTAGTTTAAACTTTAAAGTGATGTCTAGTAGATTTGTTAGATGCATTTTCCAATATTTTTATTTTCTCGTATAAAAAATTCCGATCGAGTTTTTTCACTGTAGAAAAAAATCCTGGAATATTTATTTTCTTGTATAAAAATTTCCGAACGCCTTTTTTCTCTGTATTTCTTTTTAAAACGCACGCAAAATTTCGTTGACGTTTATTTTACTTGAGGCAAAACTTCTTATTCGTTTGTTGTGACCCTGTTTGTAATGTACTTCGAAAGATGAGATAAGTTTAAAAAAAAGCCTAGACAGTTTAGATAAATTTTCAGAGAATGCAGTTAGTTTCTCGCTATTGTATACGAGCAAATTAAACTTGAATGACAACTTTGCCCGTCTTTCGAATTTACAAATAAGTTACATTGGCAATTACAGAGTTCTTCAATAAGGTTTCTCTTAAACGAAATTCAAAACTCGATTCAAATTACTGTACTTAAGCCTTATAAACGGCTTAAATTTTGTTAAATCTGGTGATTGTCTTAGTTTCAAAGTACTTTTATTATTCTGTGGTTTCAATGTTTAGTCTGGAATCTAAAGATAAAGCTGTTTTAAAATATCTAGGGCCTAAACTCGTTTTGTTAGGCTTTAAACCTTATCTTTATTCATGACTCTAACTTTTACAATAAGGGTATTATCCTGCGCATATCTATCAAGTCGTAATAATATACAGGGTTTCCCAAAATTAGCACGCAACACTGACACTGGAGGTAGCTGAGTCTAAGACGCAACAAACAAGCTTAGTATGTCCATAGAAAAGTTTTATAAGTCCATTTAAAAAATACTAATATGAGTCATATTTCAAAACTCATCAAACTTTTCTATGGAAATGAATAAATAAAATTGGTCATACCTTAAAACTTTAACATGTTAGATGCGTCTTAAGCTCATTTTCCTCTGGTGTCAGTGTGACGTGCAAATTTTGGGACACCCTGTATACTTTTACGTAGGATAAAAATATCACTGGCCCTTTTATTGTACCGAAGCAGTAGTAGGGTTGTTACTGGGACGTGTAAAAGTACTTTTTTAAAGCAAAAATAAAATAAGTTTTATGAGTTTTTATAAGCAAATAGCTTCAGCAGCGTAAATGTTTGTGATTTTTCAGAATTCTATTCTTGAATAGCCTTACGTCCTTGGGACTTAACAATAACATACATTTTACCTTCAATATTATCCAAATGGACTCTTGATTACAATCTACCCCGGTTTGTAAATACGATATATGATGGAGCGATTTCGCAGCCCAAAAGCTGTCTATTCAGAGCTTTCAAAGCCTTTGTACGGCACTTCAGACCACAAACTTTTGTTGCAAATTCGCTCCTATTCCAACTTCTTAAGAACCAACAGTGTTTACCTTATTATGCCGTCGTTTGTACATTCGGAAACATGAACGTGGGACTGGGAAGGGTATTTTGCTCACGGCAGGGCTTTTCTCTAATACAGTTTACGGAGGTTCCGATCTATCTGTTACTTTCGCTCATGTTCACATCTCGCTTTACGTGAAAGAGATGGCAACATTCAAAACTACGGATAACGTTGCTAGTGGCCCCACTGGTTGTAAACTCTATACAGGATTGACTATGTTCCACCAAAATACTACAAGAATAGAACTGTCCTTGAAACTGTTTGTTTTGTGTTAGAGAAATACCGTTTTTATAGCTATGGGTTTACGAGTAGTAGTTTACTACGCCTAATTGGCATAAATTACCCTGTTTACGTTTAAAGATTTCGTATCGCATTTCAAAATTCAATGTCTACGGTCCTGTAAAGGTTGGAAATAAACAACAATGTTAACAGCATTATTGTGTTCCGGCAGTTAGAGGTAAGATAGCCAGTTCCCCCGTGGTTGAGGATTCCAGGTGAAGCTCGCTTCCATCTTCGGCCTGATCGTCACTTACTGAGATACAGGCCAAGAGCTTCCTCGTTGTGGATAAAAAAATCTCATGTTATGATCACACACAAATTTAAACACTTTAAAAAGAAAAACAATTTATTTTGCACGAAAGTAGGTACATAACTAATTTGTCATCCATTACGTACACATCGATCCGTCATATAAATATCTTATTTTCCCTCTTAATGAACCAAATAGCAATGAAAGGGAGGATTTTATTCGTAATCCGATGTGTCTACACAGACATTAATTGGTTTGGACTAAAATATACGACCTTAATTAAGCTATTTGATATTTTCTACTTAAGTATACTTAATTGCTGACGATTATTATAAATAGACTCTATTTCTTACTAGCTGACCCCGCGAACTCTGTTCCGCCTTAAAGGCAATAAATAAGCCATCGCAATTTTTCCTTATTTGCTCACCGTATAGACCTACCCTGGACTACGACAAACATTTTAAAACCAAAATCAGCTCAATCGGCCCAGCCGTTCGTTTTAATCAGACTAACGAACAGCAATTCATTTTTATTTATATAGAAGATATTTGAACAAAGATGTTAACATTAGGAACATACTCTTTGCATAAGTTATTAAAAAGATATTGAGACAAATATCCCACAATTCATTGTTCTCGAGTTCCTGAGTCAAATTCCCTTCTTAAACATCTCGTTTGTCTTTCATTCAAAACGGCTGATTCATAAGCTCTGTCAATACTTAAAGCTACAAAGTTTGCTGCCTGAGCTTTCCGACCTCTTCGGAACAAAATAAAGCTTTACCTTGAATTGGGTTGTCTTACTGCGGGTATTTCAATTTATTGTCTTGTCGACAGAATATAATGATGAATTGAGCAGAGATCAATGGACAAATAAGGACTAGATTTAAGTCCCAAAGTGACTAACAATCTAAATTTATGAGACGCAAATATTGTATCCTAAAGGTTCAGCCAAACCAACGCGATCAGCCGGCGTGGAGCGATGGCGATTTATGCCACAGAATAAGTAATAGTACCAAGGTCAATGCTTTTAAGTCAGATCGCCATTGAAGCACGTCGACTTATCGCCGCGTAAGTTTGGCTAAACCTTATGGGTGTCGGCCTAAGGCTAAGAACTCACGGCGCGATTTTCACCCGCGCCCGCGGCGGTTATGGATTTGCGGTTTTATTTCAAAACTCACGACACTGTTATTGTAAGAACTCACATGCTAAGTCACTGGTACAAAATGGTCGCCCGCCGATCGGGCGGTTTACGCACCCGCTGCGGGCGAAAACCGCATCGTGAGTTCTGGCATTAGTTTTTACATAAGTATCTGCATTCTACAGAAGCTGCGGGCCCGCAACCGCCGCGGGCGCGGGTGAAAATCGCACCATGAGTTCTTAGCCTAAGACTGTGAGGTGTAAGCTTAAGGCCTCAGCCTCGAACTTAGCGGGCAGCGGGGCGGCGGCGGCGGCGGCGCGGGAGCGGCAGGATCTTATGCGTAAAATCAAATAGACCGGTTCTCGAAAACAGCGGCGCGGCAGCGGCGCCGGAGCGGGCAACGAGCGGGCAGCGGCGAGGGAGCGGGCAACGAGCGGGCAGCGCACTCCTTCTTTAGCCCATAATAAATCGAGCGTTAGGAATAAATTTGAATCGAAATAAAATTGTCGCCGTTGTTCAGACATTTCGTTTGCGAATAAAAACAAATATCTCGATAACACAAGCCCGAACACAACACTTCGCCGCTAAAGCGCCGCGCGAGCTGCCCGCTTGTTTCGAGAACGGGTCTGCGTTGCCCGCCCCGCTCCAGCGCCGCCGCCGCTCCCGCCCCGCTGCCCGCTAAGTTCGAGGCTGAGGCCTAAGACTGCCGAATAGAGATTCGATGAAAGTTAAGTCGATCCCTGTCTACCGCCAGCCTATGTGCCAAACCCACTCCTAGTAGATTACAAATCTTTAAAAAAATACGAATATGTTGTTTACATACGATACTAGTCTGTAAATTAACAGTTTTGAGGTAAAGATGCAGCAAATTGTGCGAATCTTCTCTCTTCATGTACCTCGAGAGAATTAGTAAGACTTCCAATCCCTATTGGGAACGACCGGATCGTGTTGTTCCGTTCCTTGCCATTTTCTAGTCCGGAACAACGTGGAATTACTAGGTACCAGAGGAGTCCTAAGGGATTCACACGACTTGTGAGGATCTTAGAACAGCTTATTCTCGGACGTAGTCGCTTGCACACTGGTCAACAGTCACTTTGAAATATAAATGCCGAATATAAATACCGAAATTGTTTTTATTTCATTGTTAATTTACATTTTAACTGTAGATAAATACGGATTGAGGTTACGGCATGGGATTGGTATTGAAAATATATTTTAGGGATTTTATTATATTTTAAGGATGTTTAAAAATCGATTGTTAAAGAGGTAATTTTAAGTAACATGGTTTGATAGTAGGTCAAAATTAGTAACTAATGTCCTGTCAATTAAGCAATTAATTACCTACTTTTTACCATTGCTTTTTAGTGGTTTCGTTCGTAAGTTCGTTCGTTTCAGTTAAATGACGTCCATTGCCTAACAAAGGCCTCCCTCAAGGCTTTCCACAATGAACGGTCCTGCGCTGTGTTGCAGTAGTTTATCTTCTCGATTTCCCAAAAATAATAAGTTAGTAGAGAAAGGTCCTATTGATACCTTAAAAGTGATAAAGTGATATCAGAATCAAAATTTCAATATTTCTTTTCCCCACAGCAGAAAGAGCAGATGAGAAGGTGTCTCGGCGTAACACAGTCAGGATGGGCATCCGGGTCCTGCAGGGCCCAGGTCGGCCGGCGGCGACGCTCCCTCTGACGCATTCGCCACACCACACGCTAAGTGCGCTGGCGCACCACAACGTTCTCAGGTAAGACATACTAACCCCAGTAGGCCTAAGATGCGCACCGCGATAAGCGGTTATCATGCCATTTTATCGATTTTCCCCATACATTTTGACGTCGATAAAAGTTATCACGGCGCGCATCTTAAGCCTACTGGTTTCTAATTGACTTTTCATATAAAATTCATACGGTGAAGGTTAAAATCTCAATTCAGAAACCGGGCTTCAGTATCTCAACAATTATTATATTTTATTCTCACTCTTCGTGGTTCCACTATGTCTGATGATTGAGTAGTACCTACTTGATAAACTAAAAAGTTATGATAGAGAAAAATTAAATTGAAAAAAAGAAATCGTTTAAAATCTTGAATATTCCCAGAAACTTTTTGACTGAAGAAATCTCTGTTATTTGCCGGTTCTTTACACTCTGTTGCAGGACATTTTCAAAAGCAATAATCACATCCCAAAACAGATTTAAGGTGGCACATAAAGGTACAGAACAGAAAATAATAATCAGCAGTCTTAATTTCATTTGTCTTTATTACAACGGATTTCCCTGAAATTATACCCATTTGTAACGACTTTGAATGAAAACTGAGTAATTCGACTCCGACTGCTCCATAAATTTCATCTCCTTTCATGATATCAATATCAGAACATCAGAGTTTTCATCACAAAGAGCGAATACTTACTTGGAGTCTTGGATTAATTACGACATTATCTAGTTCCTAGAATCCGTTTGCGATTTTCAACGGGATTAATAGGAAACTTAAAAGATGGTTCAGTGTGGTGAAAATCATAAGATACGTACGAAAATAGCCTTCGTTATATCGACAGGAATAGACGCTTCCTACGGAATTCCTGTGAAAAGGTATATTTTTATTTGAATGCTTAATGATTGAATATATTTTTAGAAGTCAAAAGACTACATAGGAATACTTGTTGAACTTGTTCTTAATAAGTCGGGGCCTTTGTTTGTACTTTCGTATTAGTATTGAAGTTTCTCATAAACTTGTCAGTTTTTAATGCTAGGGATATCTATGCCCCAATTATTTTTTTATCCACAGCGATAAAGCCCTTGGTCTGTATCTCAGCTAACGTGAATTGTGATCAAGCCGAAAGTGAATGTGATCTTCACCTGAAATCAAAATCAAAAAATCAAAATCAAAAATNCCCTTCTATGATCTGAGGTGGGAATTCTTTGGCGGAGTAGAGCCTATAGTCGACAAAACTTTCTGTGGTCACGTAATATTGTGGACAGTAGAAGCCATTCGACTGGTTGTACAAGCGCTTGAATAGCGTAATAACTGACATAACTGTGATCACATGCGTAGGAGCTACTATTACTTATTCTGTGATAGGAGTATTTATAAAGGCTACATCTTTGATAGTGTCGCATATTGTAATAGACTGTCGTAAAACAGGCCCTAGCACTGCCAAATAATAAGAATAGTAGAGGATGTCCACTGGCTACCTAGTGGTCCACTCCACGGTGGCCAAGAACTTAGAGGGTGCCCGAACAAATATTTTAACAACCCAGGCACAGGACAAACTGTCCTGAAGTATCCATAACCATAGATCACCAGTCTCCACAAACAGGTTACATATATTTGGTTATACCTAATCGTAAGCATGTTACATTGTATCTACTTGTTTGTGGTGAGAAATAAATTCCATTTTAAGTATTATTTATTATCCTGGCGCCTCAGAACAAGGAGAGCCGATACTAAATAAATATGAAAAAGAAGAGAAGAAGATACTTTGATAGTGTTGGTTAGTTACAAAGTATGGTCCGTATTACAAAACTCTAAACTTGATTCAGTCTCAGTCATAGATTATATCCTGAAATTGGTCTAGATATTAACATACAGCCTCTAGAATTTTTTAGCTACTTAGGTATAAAGGTAAACACAATGTGTTAATCGTTGCGCTATAAAATATCTACCTTTTAGTATGTAAACCATGAGTATGCAAGATAAATAAGAGAGCTCGATCGGAAACGGCTTAATGGACACCTCGATGGACCGGCGCGTTTGAACGTCACTGAAAAAGGGAAACACACAGCTACATAATATGAACGGTTTTCCAACGATTCTTCATAGAACCATCCTCGATAAATTGTCTTTCGGTTCAAATAATAAGGCAGAGAAAAATAATAATTTCAGTTTATTTTATTCTTATTTTTAGTTATGACCATGCAAAAAACGGGATGTCTCTGTGGGAAGAGCCCTTACATTACATTAGGTATAAGTAGCCCGCAAAATTGCTAAAATCCTAAAATCAAGTGGCAATGGGCAGGGCACATAGCTTGTAGAGATGATGACCGTTGGGGCAGAAAAAATCTCGAGTGGCGACCACGGACGGGCCGGTAGACGTAGCGTGGCCTACTAGGTGGACCGACGATCTGGTCAATGTCGCGGGTAGAGCCTAGAAGCGGGCAGTGCAGGACCGGTTATGGAAATCCTTATGGGAGGCCTTTGTCCAGCAGTGGACGTTATTTGCCTGAAACGAAAGATAAGCAGTCTAAGTTAAAATGTAGACCCGTATCGTGCGTCTTCCTTACCAAAATAAGCGGGACGTTTCCGCCTAATGCGTTTTTCAGCGTCATTCATTTGGACTGTTGCTCATCACTCATCTTTTATTACCACACTCAATCAAATTACAATTAATTATTATTTACGTGTCCATTTGTGTCGGTAATCAATCAGTATCAATCTTGTCATTATTCATATTTTACGATAATTAGGTTAATATGATCCAATTCAGGAAATGTGTCCTCTTTTTCATATCGTGCTATTTTACCTTATTTTTTTCCGTACTGTTAGGTTAGTATTTGAACTACATTTTTTGATGTATTTTTTGTCGTAACATGTTTATATTTCTGGCCACTGCGAATGCGATACAAGCATATTAATCGATACTCCATACAAGAACGTGGAAAACCCTAAGCGTGTTTTGTTTTAAATATCAATAAAACATTCTCGCTGATGTCTCCGAATATTTTATAATAAAGTACCTACCCAAAAACATTTCGTGGCTCGTCATTAGGATATTAGGAAAGTCGACTGAATATTGCTGGAGGAATTTTTTATTTCTACGTTGATAGTACTTTGATTTCGTCCGTTAAATGTTACGACGAAGATTTTCTTGACGAAGTATCAAGAATTCTTTTCGATCTAAAACGTATTTCGTTAAGAAAGTGTAATGCTAACCGCTTATCATTTCTCGTAGAAAATAATCATGTGAAATTCTTTAGAATCTTTAAGAAATAACTAAGAACTATTTATATTATAAGGTTTTGTGGTGCATGTTCCATTTTAAATGTGAAATGTTGTAAGGATGTATGGGTGTATGTTTGTTACTATTTCACGCAAAAACTACTGAACGGATTTTGATGAAACTTTACAGTAGTATCTAAATTGTATATAACTCAAAGGTGACTGACTGACTGACTGACGGACATAGTGATCTATCAACGCACAGCCCACCAAACCTCTGGACGGATCGGGCTGAAAGGCATGCAGGTAGATGTTATGAGTCATAACATCTACCTGCATGCCTTTCAAAATTCTATATTATAGCGGATGCCTACGTCATAAGTTATGACGTAGGCATCCGCTAAGAAAGAATTTTACGAAAATTCACCCCTTAGGGCAGTGTTTTTCAACCTTTTTCATGACGCTACCCCCCTAGCATGAAAAAAGTTTTTGCGACCCCCCGACCGTTCGCTTTTTTTCATACCTTTTACGAAAATGTTGTAGGGACCGAATTCTTCAATCTATACAACATTTATGCATTTGCATAGGGTAAACTGCCAGTAATAGGACACTTAAGGGAGTTATTGGACAGTTTTTATTTATTGGTTATTTATTGAACAAAAATAGCATTTCTATTCCAACAACTGAGAGGTTCCAACTGTTGGGGACAAAAGGGTGTTAAGTTGAAATTTGCATTTGAAGGAATATTCATTAAGAAAATTTAAGGGATGTTTTGTCTAATGACTGGCAGTGTCCAATGACTGTCGGTTTACCCTAATTAGATTTCGGATAAATCTAGCTTTAAAACTTTACTGTTTTATTTCAACTTGCGACCCCCCAGGGGGTCGCGACCCACAGGTTGAAAAACACTGCCTTAGGGGGTAAAACGGGATCCACGCGTACGAAGTCGCGGGCGGCCGCTAGTTACTTATACATCAGAGCACATAATAGGTTTGGTTATTGTATAATGCTTAGGACCGTGGTGCGTATGGTTCTATTCCTGACCAAAGGAACACTCAGGCGTTCTTCTCGTATTCAAATAACTAGCGTAAGAAGATATGGTTTTCTGCATTCCTCAAAAATCTTTTGTCTCTTTGCATTCCGTATATGAAACCCTGCATTCAGGGTTGTCGAGTTCCAAAATATTCCATGATCATAATTAAGTACATAATATTTTATAGTCATTCCGTTTTCTGAAAGATGATAAAAAATTTTATATTTAATAGATACGCTAACAATTATTAAACCAAGGTACAATTAAAAATTTACAATTATGGTTGGAAACTTCTGTACTTTGGTTAAAGTACCTACTAGATAGTGGTGTACAAAGCGTCAAAGCAAGTATTCGATAGTATTAAATTAATTTTATTACCATTATCATAATTTCAGCCACAGGACGTCTACTGCTGAACATAGGCCTCTCCCAATGATTTGCAGCCTTCATCCTGCGCCTTCCTGCTACCTTTGTGAGGTCGCCTGTGTGTCACCAGTGTCCACCTTCTGACGTCCACCCAAGTCCTACGCTACGCTTGCCGGTACGTGACCTCCAATAATATGTAGTATTATTATGCCCAGTTTCAGCATCAATCCCTAATTTTTAAGAACCCCTATGAAAACAAAATTCCTTTTATTTGTTACCATAGCGGTCACTTAAAAATTAGGGATTGATGGTGAAAACGGGCGTTAGACAATTAAAGTAAAGATAATAATTGTTACTCTACTATTGTAGAGGCTCTACTATTAGTGTCAACCATAGAGATGTAGAGAGAT